CTTAAATGAAAGTAAGGGTTATCAGTTTCTTTGAATTTCGAGATGTTGTTGGCATTGAACTTCTGCGGAAGAAGATCCTTGTCCACCGAGACCCCTTGTGAGCTAATCCCTTGAAACTTATAGTCGCTAGATAGTTTGCTCAGACTCTCTTGCATGAGGTCCATCTGTTGTTGTTTCACAGGATCATCAATCTTGAGGGTTAGAACCTTTAACGCCTCAGTCACGGTAATCAGTTTGATCCTGAGCTCATTTACTTCTTCTTGAGTTGCCATTATTGTCCTAGCTTTCCTCTTACGAGCGATGGGTTTGTCGAAAAGTTGGACTTGTATAAAAAGGTTGTCTTTGATTAAACGCCCTTCTTTTCTTGACCACACGCTGTAAATTAAACCATTTTTTTGTTTTAATAATTTGACTCAAATTGACTTTGACTTTACGATTTTAAAGAGGAAAAGTAAAGAAATAAGTGCATATTTTTGGCAAAAATAAGGTATATATTTTTGGTAATCAAGTATATTATTTAATCAAATGGTTTAAATTGGAGGATTAATATTCGACTTACCCCCCTTAAAAAAAATGACGGAAAAAACGCGCATACAAGACTCTCTTAGACATGGTCAAAAGCGTGTATTAGTGTGTGCGTTATATGGTGAGTGCAAGTGACATGCTTTGACTTTTGTGTAAGACCATGGGACTTAGTGCCTAGACTCAATTAATGACTTAACGAGATATAATTAACAGTAAAAATTAACCAAATTAATTAGCAAACTGTTTAATTAGACACAAGGTGATGACTCGAGCAATAAACCGAATTGTCGTCAAAACGACAGGACTGGCGCCTCTCTTTGCAGTGTAGCGCCAGACGATAGGATTGTCACCATGCACTACACTCCACAGAGTGGCGCTACAGTTCAAACTTTGGCGCCATTGCTGGAGCGTCGATCTGAAACGATTTTCAGTATTATTACTCAATAGGGGTATACCTAAAGTCGTACTAAGTCAACTCTGATTAAAAAATAGACTTTATTTAGTCAAATTAATTAATTAATTAGGAAAATTTCTTTTAGTCATGAATTAATTTATTTAATCTTAGCACAAGTCAAAAAAACGGTTAGGAAAAACACATAGAGAATGCACAACCAATAATGCACAATTAGTCAAGTAGACACATTATGATGCAATGAGTTTGTAACCTAACCATGGCTCTAGTTCTCTGAAGACCGGGATATGGGTTAGTCAATAGAGGGTCCATGGTTAATTGTCCGGATGCACCGCGCGGAAGCCTAACCGTGAAGGGTTGGCGCGAGTGGATGGGACACCGAGAGTTTAGAAAAACTCGCTTCCATAGTTTGGTGAATTCAACATTCTCGGATGTACCCTTTGTTGCTCAAAGCGTTCAATCAGGTAGATGGAGCATGAATTCCCAAAGGGTTATGTCTATATGTATAACACATATGGGTTTCAGAAAAGTGAGGAAAACTCAATCAAGAAGTAGGATCGAGCAAACAGTGCTAAAAACTGGTTGAAATTAGAACGCATATTTCTGGCTCGGTATTGGAAGAACTTGGCGCCAGCAAACAGAGGCCAGCTCTACTTTTTGGCTTTTGGCCTGGCGACAGAGGTTGTCGTCTGGCGCTAAAGTCAAAACGTTGGCGCTAATCTTTGTTCGCTGACGCTAGTTCCTACATGCCTCAGCAGCTTTCTGTGCTCGATAAAATTTTCCAGTTTCACGCAGCATTATTACGATCCTAGTTGTGAAAGATATTCCTCAAAATTTTCCTACGTGTAAAAATCCTATGTTTTAACTCATTACGGATGGTCTTTCCAATGAGATATTTTTTTATGCATATGACAATAATGTTAATCAAAATTACGCACATGAAATACTTAGAACTTTTCAAGTCTCATCCACTCATTCTAAATCATCGCCGAAACAAATTAAGGAATTAAAATAGAAATCCTCCCCAGTGGAGTTGCAAAAAAACTGTAGGGAATATTTCAAGCATTACCCCAAACTTGAACCCCACTGTGATCATACACTAAAGTACGGTGGCGTCCAAAGGGAAAGAAGATAGAGCAAAAGAGTCGCCAACAAGTTTTAGGAACTTGTAAACCGTTCACGAGGTGAAGGTTACACCCCTTAACGATCCAGGAGATCGTCAACTCCAATAGGTCTGGAACCATGACTGGTGTTCGGGGATGATGGTACAAATCCAACCTAAAAGAGATTGAACCTGCCCTAATAATAGGCCTCTACATTATTCTGTTCGTATTCATGTGTGCTTTCTGACTAACATGCAATCAATAGGTTTAACCCTAAACCTGTTTATCTATGTTGGTTGAATATTAATGCATAAATAGAACTATTATTGGCGATCACTTGCGTTATAATCAAATTTAACCCTAAACAAGATTATTAATTATCTTATTAAGCGTGATTACAAGTACCAATTCCCTTTAAACATGCATAAAAGGTGTGATCAAGCAATAACAATAAATAATCAAGCAGCCTAATAATAAAAAAAAAATTAATCATTATAAAATTATAAATCATAAAAACAATCATAATCATATTAAAGCATAATAGTGAGATCCTAGGCATGATACTAACAAGATTAATAACAAACCCTAGCATGTCACTAAACAATAAAAATCAAAGCTTTAACCCAAACATGATACTAACATGAATATTAGGAAGAACATAAAAGGCATCATACTTCCAATCATACTTGATATTAAAGTTACCCTAGACATGATACTAGGAAGATCAAAACGCCCTGAAATAACATTATGAATCATAATAACAACCTAAGCATGATTTCTATATCATAATATCAATAAATCAATTAAAAGCACTCACTTGGATGTCTCGTATCTCTTTCTAATAACAAAATACACACGTTAGTAACTTCAAGGAAAATAATAAACAACAATTAAATTAAATAATTGAAATAAAGATTTGGGACCAAACCCTAAAAAATTAAAACCTTTCACGTCTAGGGCGAAGGCAACTTCGAACAATGCTAGGTGTATCTAGGTCTTGTGAATGCGGAATTTTGTAAAAATGAGGGGTAAGTTCAGAAAAGAGAGAGAGAAGCTTTAGCTTAGAGAGAAAAAGAATTAGAGAGTTGATGATTCTAGATTATTGATTGTAGATGATTGAAAACGGAGTTTTTAGGAGGCTATTTATAGAGAAAATCAGCCAAAAAGATAAAAACTCGAACCAGAATTCTGACGTGAAAAAACAGAGTTAGCGCCAGGCGCCAAGCTTAGCGCCAGGCGCCAAGATTAGCGCCTGGCGCTAATGCTGGTGTTAGGCGATAATAAAGTTTTTGACGCGTTTTCTAAAATAAGATAGAATTTAACCGTACAGGAGGATAAAATTGTATTTTCCTCCAAAAACACTCTTTTATTCTGATTAAAAATCTAAAAAGTCAACAAAAGTCAATTTATCAATGCTAATTGAATTAGGAATGAAAAGAACCTTCTAGAAGAATCTAAAAGACTAAAAGCATTCCTAATTGCATCAGGAATGATAAATCCATATTAGGCCCTCCCCTAGATCATTGGGACGCATATAATGTTCCAACCGGACCCAGTTTAGTAATTTGGCCATAACTTCCTCAATATTCATTGGAATTGGGCTTATAATATATCGTTGGAAAGCTCTTTTCAATCCCCATCCAACTACACTACTATTGGACCCATATCATATACTAAACAAATTGGATTGGCTTTTTTCTTAAAATAGGTTTTCAAAAACAGAGAGAAAAGAAAAGAAAATAAAACTATCCACAACACTTTCACTTCATTCGATAGGGACATGTTTAGACCGATTGTGAAATTTGAGAGGAGGTAAAGGAGGAGGTGGGGTATCATCTTGAGTAGTTTGGTTGTGAGGAGGTTCGGTCTTTGAAGGTTGGCTACGAGAGGATTGGCCTTGGGAGGATTGGCCGGGGGATTGGTTAGAACTTTTCTTGCTACTCTTAAGATTTCTTAACAAATCCATAGTCACAAGCTCAACCAACACAAGAAACTACACAATCACCCAAAATCAACACCAACACTACCACCAATTTTTTTAAACCACCTTCACAATACCACCCAAAACCACCACAAACTACAAAATACCTGTTACAAGGGAAAAACAACCAAAAATCCAAACAAAAATTAACATTAACAATCCATCTCAAAATAAGCACAAATCACTCAAAATAATTCCAAAATCACGATACAAACTACCAAAAACATCATAGTCATGCTTAATCAAGGCAAACCAAAACCAATGTATAATAATCAATTTAAATTGACAAAAATAAAACAAAGGTTAGAAGTATACCATGATTGAAGACTTAAACAAAGCTCAAAATCCCGTCAAGGATTCGAATTTCTCGAAAAACCACAAGAAAAGAGACTAATCTTGATGAAAATGGAGTATGAAGGAAATTGTGATGGAAAATTGAGTGAAAACAAGGATGAATTTGAGTGAATTTGTGTGAGAAAGATGATTTGTGGGTTAGGGTTTAAGAGGAGGAAGAGAGATAAAGGGGAAAAATAAGGGGGAATTGAAAAATAAGAGAGGAGAAAGAAAGAGAGCAAAATCGGCCCTCTTGTAACCCAGCAAGCCGTGCCCTCTCCCATACTCCCCGCGGCCTCTATAAGACACCCGCGCCCGAGGGGAGACCGCGGAGAGACTACGGGAAGTTCCTGATCGGATTTCCCCTTTTTTAAAGCAAGGGGACCCGAGGCCTCTCTAAGCCCGCGGGGTGCACTCTCCCCTGCACTCCAAATTATCCTTTTGCCATCCTCATCAAACACATTAATTCCATAGTTGATGAATGAAGGAAACCTACAAAACAAACCAAAAACACAAGGAAAGGTAAGAGCAAAAATAAACAAAGAAAAATAAAATAAAGGAAAGAAAAGAGAGTAAAAGTGAGAATCCGGGTTGCCTCCCGTAAGCTCTTTTGTTTAACTTCGTTAGCTCGATGTGTACCACCCATTCAAGGTGACTTAAAAAGAATCATTTTATGAATAAGACCAACAAACACTCCATCATAGTATCTCTTGAGCCGATGACCATTAACCTTAAAAGAAGATGAGGAATCCAAAGGAGAAATCTCCACGACACCATTAGCAAAAACGTCTTTCACCAAAAAAGGGCCGCTCCATCTTGACATGATCTTTCCGGGAAACAACTTCATTCTTGAATTAAAGAGGAGGACTTTATCACCAACACAAAAATCTTTCCTCTCAATAATCTTGTCGTGATCTTCCTTGGAACGAGCTTTGTAGGTGCTAGCACAATCATTAGCATCAAGTCTAAGCTCCTCTAGCTCATGAAGATCCAACCACCTTTTCTCCCCCGCACTTCCTAAATCAAAGTTTATCTTCTTGATTGCCCACAAAGCACGGTGTTCAAGCTCCATTGGGAGATGGCATGATTTGTCATAGACAAGGCGATATGGAGTGGTGCTAATAGGTTTCTTGAAAGCCATTCTATAGGCCCAAAGAGCATCATCTAACTTGTCCGATCAATCCTTTCTATTCCTTGCAACCGTCTTCTCAAGAATAAAGCTTTATTTGACGATTGGAGACCTCGACTTGGCCACTCGTTTGAGGATAATATGGAAGGCCGAAGCGTTGATCAACCCCATGTTTCCTCTACATCTTTTGGAAGGCATTATGAACAAAATGAGAACCGTTATCGCTAATCACAGCCTTAGGCACACCGAACCTTGAGAAGATGATTTTTTTGAACAACTTCAAGACTACTTTATGGTCATTTGTTGGGGAAGCAATGGCCACAACCCACTTAGAAACATATTCCACAGCCACAAGTATGAATTGATTCCCTAATGAAGATGGGAATGGTCCCATGAAGTCAATCCCCCATACATCGAACACCTCTAACTCAAGAATAGGTTGTTGAGGCATCTCATTCCGCTTGGAGATATTCCAACTCTTTGACATCGGTCACATAACTTGACGAAGCCCTATGAATCCTTGAAGAGATGTGGCCACCACAAACCACAATGAAGAACCTTAGTAGCGGTTTTGGAAACACCCATATGACCACCACTAGGATCCGAATGACACATCTTTAGAACACTAGGAACCTCTTCATTCGGGACACAACGCCTAAGCAAGCCAACAACCCCTCGTTTATACAATATGGGATCATCCCACAAATAATGTCTTGCCTCCCTCTTGAGTTTCTTTCGTTGGTTCTTGGAGAAAGAAGGTGGAAACTCCCCACATGCTAGAAAATTCACCAAGTCGGCATACCATGGGAGCTCCTTTACCTTAATGGCATACAAGACATCATCAAGCATTCTATCTTCAATTGATGAACCATCATCATGAATTTGATCACCCTCAAGGCGAGAAAGATGATCTGCCATAACATTTTCCGCACCCTTCTTATCCCTAATCTCTATTTCAAAAGTTTGTAGTTCAAGCACCCAACGAATCAACCTTGGCTTCAACTCTTTCTTAGCAAAGAGATACTTGAGAGTCACATGATCCGTGAAGACAATGGTCTTGGAACCCAACAAATAACACCGAAATTTCTCAAAAGAGTGAACAATGGCCAGCTTTTCTTTTTCCGTTGTTGTGTAATTCTTTTGAGCCCCATTTAGTGTCTTGGACATATAGTAAATCACATGAAGCTTCTTGTCCACACGTTGTCCCAAAACACCTCCTATTGCCCAATCACTAGCATCACACATCAATTCAAAGGTAGATCCCATCTTGGGGCTTGAACAATGGGTGTAGAGATTAGGGCCTTCTTCAACCTATTAAATGCCTCCAAGCATTTACCATGAAACACAAACTCAACATATTTTTTAAGAAGATCATTAAGGGGCTTGGCAATGAGTGATAAATCCTTGATGAATCTTCTATAGAAGCCCGCATGTCCCAAAAATGATCTCACTCCCTTGACATTCACCGGAGATGGAAGCTTCTCTATAACCTCGATCTTGGCCTTATCCACCTCTATTCCTTTATGAGATATTTTGTGTCCAAGCACTATTACTTCCTCCACCATGAAGTGACACTTCTCCCAATTCAAAACAAGATTGACCTTCACACACCTTGCCAAACATTTCTCAAGATTCACAAGGCACTCTTCAAATGAAACCCCACCTACGGAGAAATCATCCATAAACACCTCCATTTCTTCCTCCAACATGTCTCCAAAAATGCTCATCATGCACCTTTGGAAAGTTGCGGGGGCATTACAAAGGCCAAAAGGCATTCTCCTATAAGCAAAGTCTCATAGGGGCATGTAAATGTTGTCTTCTCTTGATCATCGGGGTGGATTATATTGGGATTTGGAAAAATCCCGAATAGCAATCAAGGAAGCAATAGAACTTGTGCCTTGTTAGTCTCTCTAACATTTGATCAATGAATGGAAAGGGAAAGTGATCCTTCTTGGTGGATTTATTTAGGCGTCTATAGTTTATACACATCCTCCAACCGGTGACCGTCCTAGTCGAAATGAGCTCACCTCTCTCATTCTTGACTACGGTCAGACCCCCCTTCTTAGGAACGAAATGAACGGGAGAGATCCACCTAGAGCTTCAGATGGGGAATATGATTCCCGCATCCAAAAGCTTGGTGATCTCTTTTTTCACCACCTTTCCCATTTGAGGGTGTAGCTTTCCTTGTCGTTCAATAGAAGGAAGGGTGTCTTCCTCAAGCGTTATGTGGTGTGTACACAAAGCGGGGCTTATACCCTTAAGATCATCAATATTATAGCCTAAAGAAACTTGGTGCTTCCTCAAGACACAACATAACGCTTGAGCTTGGCTTTCACTCAAGGATGCACTAACAATTACGGGATAAGTGGAATTTGGGCCTAAGAATTCATACCTAAGGTGTGATGGTAGAGGTTTAAGCTCTACCATAGGCACACCTTTACCTTCTTTTGTTGTGGCCACTTGCAAATCTTCATGGCTTGAGATCTTTTAGCACAATTGTTCATCCACTTTCTCCATGCTTCCATTAAGCAATTCCTCATACAATGCCATCTCCTTGCATGGAAGACACAACATGATCAAGAGAGTCAATCATCTGCAATTTTCTAGAGAAGAACATGGATATTTCATGCTTTCATTCAAATCGAATTCTATGACCTCATCTCCTACCTTAAGCGAAATCTTTGCACTCTTGACATCTATCATAGCACCCGAGGTAGCAAGAAAGGGTCTACCTAGAATGATAGGAATGGTAGCATCTTCCTCCATTTCAAGCACAACAAAATCCACCGGGATCACAAACTTCCCAACCCTCAATGGAACATCTTCCACTTTACCTTTTGAAAACTTGATTGACCTATCAGCTAGTTGCAAGGTAATGTTGGAAGGTAAGAGTTCCCCTAGATCAAGTCTTTGATAAACCAAATATGGCATTAGTCCTACACTAGCTCCTAAGTCAAATAGGGCATTATCAATTTGCATCTTGTTAATAGCACAAGGGATAGAGAAGTTTCCAGGGTCTTTCAACTTGGGTGGCATTTTTTTCATGATGATCGCACTGCAATTCTTGGTCAAGTTGATAGTCTCCACAACATCACAAGTCCTTTTCCCACTCAAAATGTCTTTGAGGAATTTGGCACAGTTAGGCATTTGGTTGATCACATCGGTGAAAGGTAGAGAAAGGTGAAGTTGTTTGAGCATATCAATAAATCTCCCAAATTACTCATCCAATTTGTGTCTCATGAATTTTTAGGGATAAGGGAGCTTGGGTTTCACAATCTATTTCTCTACTCTCACCACTCTAGGTGTCTCAACCACAACCTCATCTAAAGATACTTTATCTCCCTCATTCTCAACCAAAGCTTCCTTGGGGACCTCCTTGTCTTCACTCTTCCTAGGCAATCTCTCCTCAAGAACCTTACCACTCCTTGTAACAATAGCATTCACGGGTTTCTTAGGATCTAGGCCTTGGGAAGGTAAAGAAGAAAGGCTTGCTTGGTCTTTTAAAGCATTAGCAAGTTGAGAAATTTGGTTTTTGAGCATTTTGTTATGGGTCATCATCTCATTGAATTTCTTATCACTAACGGTCATGTATGTGTTTAAGAACTTGGTTTAATTTTCAATTATTTCCTCCAAATTGGTCATAGAAGAAGAAGTTTGTGAATAGGAATTTTCACCTTGAGTCTTTGGACAAAATCCGGGTGGGGGACCCCTTTGAGAATTATTTTGAAAATTGCCCCTACCTTGATTGTTCCAATTACCCCTATTTTGATTTTGACCATAACCTTGATTATGGTTTCCACTACCTTGGTTATGATTTCCATAACTTTGGTTTTTATTACCATAATTTTGGTTTTGATTTTGACTACTATAACCTTGATTGTTATAGTTACCACGAGAACCTTGGTTCCCTTGGTTCCTATAACCACCTCCTTGGTTATAGTTGTCAAAATTACCTTGGTTTTGGTAATTCCTATTCCATTGACCTCTTTGATTATCAAACCTTTGAACATTATTATTTGACTCATAATTCACATGCTCACTCTCATTGTTATCAAAATCATCACCACATTCCGGAGAAGCATTAGGGCAATTACAAGAGTCATGATCATAAGATCCACATGCATCAAAAAACAAGCAACCACTAGTCATATTATTTGATGATGGAGGGGGTTGAGATTTAGAAAGATTACCTCTCCCCTTAAATTGGGAGGGAAGATTTGAAGCTTGAGAAGAAGAAGATCTTTCCGATTAGGCCTTGATTGCGATCATTTGTTTTCCCAAGTTTGTCATTTGTAAGGATAAGTTGTTGATCGCATTTAGATGGTCTATAGAGTACACCGAAGAGCCACTCTTGCTAGTTAAGTCACTCTCACCATCTTGCCAATCTCTATAGTATTTCACAACATCCTCAATAATTCCTCCGTCCTATTCATTATGGGACCTCCGACTCCCCCATCAAGGCATGATTTGCCTTGAGGACTTAGGCCACCATAGAAAATTTGAATGACTTGATAGGTTGGAATTCCGTGGTGGGGACACTCCCTTTGGTACTCTTTATACCTCTCCCATGCTTCGTAAAGGCTTTCATTAGGTCTTTGCTTGAACCCTTGAATCAAAGCTCTAGCATCCACCGTTTTCTTTTGTGGGTAAAACCGGGACAAGAACTCCTTGGTGACTTCGTCCCATGTTCTTAGGGAGTTTGGCTTTACCTCCTTATCTAACCACTCTAAGGCCCGGCCTATGAGAGAAAAGGGAAATAACTTTAGCCGGATGAACTCTTGAGAAACTCCGTTTACTTTGATAGAGTATTGCAATACTTTTCGAACTCCTTAAGATGGTTTAACGGATTCTCATTCTTAGCTCCGCTATATTGTCTCCTCTCGATCAAGGTGATCATAGCCGGCCTAATTTTGAAATCATTCGCCGGTGTTGTAGGTGGAGCAATTCCACTCTCAAACTTGTACGCACCGAGAATTCCCAATTCTTTCAAAGCAACTCTTGGTTCTTCTCCCATGCTTAGTTCTTCTTCAAATCCTTCTTCGCTTGAGGAACTAAACTCCAAGCAGGATCGACTAGCAATTCTTCTCCTTGAGAGAGTCCTTTTGATTTCCGGTTCAAAACGCACAATGGATCGATCATGAGCTCTATGCATGCAAAACTCAATGAAAATATTAGTAACACGGCTACAAATGTAGCCTTAAGAAACAAAATGTTTTTGTATTTTTACATTATAGTGAAATAGACTCAACAACTAAAGCTAAGCACCAATATCACTCCCTGGCAATGGCGCCATTTTGATAGAGGAATAAACGTGTCGTCAATTGTCTATCCCTAGATCATACACAATTTATAACAACCTAAACAAACCTAAGGCAAGTATAGGGTTGAACCCAAATAAGTGAGTCGGTATTAACTTTAGTCTAATCAAGCTACTTCAAAGATTGTAGTGAGAAAATGGTTGGTATTATGGTCACAAAGCTAGATTGATCAAGTAATTCAAGAAACTAAGCACTAGGGATGTAGGTTCTACATGCAAGTTCAATAATCATGCTAATTGATAGTTCATTCAATTGATTCAAGCATTGCAAAGGAAAAACAATAGTAGCAATCAAAAGAATTCAAGATCTATCTCCTAGAGGCCAAACTAGGGGTCACTATGAATGGCTAATCAAGGAAAATCACAATCAAACTCAATGAATTAAAACAACTCTCAAATTGATGGTTCATGTCATTAAGAATTACGATGCAATCTAGATTAATCTGATAGGTTGATAACTCCTAATCTAATTAATCACATGCAAAACTATGTCAACCAATTTAATTGCAACAATTCAATTAATCAATGATCATCAACTAGCACAAATTATCAATCAAGCATGCTTCCCCTTTTCCCTACCAACTAATCTACCCACTAGTCATGGTGTAACTCAAGAACAAATCATTAGAAATTGCATTGATCATCATTCTAAATCAAAATCAAAAGAAAACAATATCAACTACAATATTAAATTCAAATCCAAGGAAATCAAGCATGAATCTAAAACAAACAAGTAAAGAGGTGAACTAAAAGAAGATATTCTCACTAATATTAATGATTGAAGATAAAGAAATCCAAGCACGATTGATCTAATGTTGAGATACAAATCCAAAAACAAGAACTTTTCTCTAACTTCTCTCTAACTTCTCTCTGTAAAACTAAGCTAATGAAAATTATCTAAAAGTTAGATTTCAAAAAGGAATTACAAGTGTATTTATAGGCAAAGAAGGAAAAAAGGATTCCTGCGCCCTCTCTAAGAAATCCCGCGCCCGTGGGGAAATGGGTACAAAACCCATAACAAACTCCGTGGGCTGTCTGCGCAACACCCGCGCTCAAGGGTCTTCTAGCCCGCGCCCGCGGCAAGGGCGCGGCGAATCCTCTTCTCCCAAAGAGTAATCAGAGGGTTGCGGTCTCTCTAATCTAGAGCGCTCTTTCCAATCTACCCGCGTCCGCGGGGAGCCTGCGGCCAGACCGCGGAGAGTTCCTGGTCTATTTTAGCTAATTTGGTGCAATTGAGCCCGCGCCCGCGACCTTCAGGACCTGCGCCCGCGGCACCCTGGCAAGTTCTGATGCCCTCTCTAAGCCCTCTCCAAGCCCTCTCTGAGCTGGTTGCTTCCTCCTTGCTTAGTCAATATAGCTCATCTTGATCCCTTTGCAAAGACAACTCCTACGTACCTACAAGAGCAAACAAAGAAAAGGAATAAAAGGGAAAAAGGGACAAGTAAAAGGAAAACACGAAGAAAACACGAAAAACACAAAGAAAGAAGGAAGAAGAGGAACTAAAGGAAAAAGGACCAAAAATAAGATAAGAAAGCATGAAAAAGGGATGAAATCATCCTAAAAGACTACCCTATGAGTGCCATAAATGAAACTCGACAGCTTTAAGCTTTAATCTATCAAACAACCTTAGCTTCCGACCACTTTTCTTATATGTATCTTTAATATTTTGGCTATAACTTCCGGTTAAAACTTAGATTTGGGCTTATAATATATTGTTGGAAAGCTATTTTCAAACCCCATACAAATCCATAATCATTAGACCCAGATTATGGACCAAAAAAAATTAGATTGGATGATTTTATAAAAAGGACATGAAGTAAATGTTTGAAATGAATGGTTTTGGATATAAAGGCATGAAATGATTTGTTTTTTTCTTAAAACACTTTAGGTAAGGTTAGAGATGGTCAAGGCTAAAGGAAAATTTACGAGACTCTTCAACTTTTCACCTAACTCGATAATCAAAGACGTGAAGGTACTCATCACTAGCTTTGGTTTTTGAGGAGGCACAATCAGGTGTCTACAATCATTAAAAGGCTATTAAACAATTTTGTGATAGTCGATTAGCTCTCCATATAATCAGAATTGTGTTGCATGAACAAACCAAACATATAAATTTTAATGTCATTTTGTTCACCAAGGCCCTTGGCAAGACACAATTGGATTATTTATTACACAAGTTGGGCATTGCATCTTCCCTCCACATAAGGTGTGTTAAGATTTGTTAAGCGATTTGATAAGTTACCTTAAATAGCATATGGTTTGATACTAATTTTATTGTGTACATCCTAATATATTTCCATATCTTTGAATAGAAGATTGTACGCCATATATATGATTAACGAATCAATGAATGGGCTTTTAAGACCTTTTATCAAACCTTACAAAAGGATTTTTTTTTTTAAATTGTTGTCACGTTGAACTCAAAAACACCACTAAATTTAGAGTGGTTAGGTTCTTACACGTTTAATGTTACAAATAAATTCCAGTTTTTGGCCTTGTTAAAAACCTAGCTCAGGCCTTTGTTAAAAAATAAAGTAAAAAAGTTTAAGTCGTCTATATTTTTTCATTCAATTATTTAGGAATGGACAATCTTCCAATTATGTACAACTTTATAGACCAATTGATCGAGAAGCCCTACACAATCCCTAACTAGCCCCTAATCGACCGTGTAAACCATTATCGATCGACTAACCCCGGCCACACCATATGTCCAGCCACATATGAAAATTTTTGAAATCTTAAATCAAATAAACAACAACAAAGTCTTAATCACAAAATGATTTGGGAATTTCTTACATGAATCGACATAAGGAATCGTACAATATTATAAACAAAATGACATAATAAAAAAATTCTTTTAAAGATGGTTTGAAAAACGTGAATAAAGTGAGCAAACAAAAGAACATTCAAGAAAATTTAAGGGAGTTTTTTAAGAACCAAAAATAAAATTCAAAAAAGTATTGAAAATGTTGAGTTAAAAACATAAAAGTTTGAGAAAAAATTGGCAAAGGAAAACAATATTGTTCGTACAACATTAGTGAGCTAAAATAATAAAATTAAATACGAATATAAAAAGTTAAAATACAAAAAAAATGCAAGACAAATGTCAATTATTCAGAAATACATCAAATCATATCCTTCTTCAACTCATTAAGGAAGAGTTCAGTAACTAAAATTGTATGGAGTAATTAACAACATCATCTAATCATATTTCTTTCTTTCAGTTTCTTCGCAATTGTTGTTTGAATATCAGCTTACTCATAATCATCAAAGGCCCATTCATTTTCCCTTTGAATTTCAGCTTCTTCTTCAGAAGTAAAATCATTGACGATGTTGAACATCTTCCTTACCTCTTCAGCAGTTTTGGACTGCATGATATCAGCAATGGCTTGGCAAGTCAAATCTAGTAAACCCTTTATGCCCAAGTAGTTTGAAGCCTACACAAATATTATTCACTTTAGTACTTTAACTAATCCAATAATTAATAATTTATAAATAAAAAAAATTTAATAAAATTTGAAGCATAATTTTTAAACTTCAAATTTTACAGTTTATGTGAGGATTAACTTTTGACGAGTATCAATTACACCGTACATCAGAACTTTTACGTTATTATCTAGTGATTTATTTCTTACTCGGAGTTATTATATCTATAAATTGACATACTGCCTCCGTTAACTTGTAGTTGCAACTTTGGAATATTTTATATCTCACAAATAATACCCCAAAGTTGCAACTAAAATGTAACGGAAGTATTATATTTTATAAATTCACACTTTAAAAGTAGAGAAACCATAGTGGTACGTATCTTCTTAACTACGATTATTATCAATTATATAAATATATGTAATTAATGTATTGATACTCTCACATCATAGGATATGTTAAAAATTAATGAATACAATAATTCAGGATCTCTTGGAATAAATACATCAAAAAGAACCGTGTTTTTTCTATATCAATGAGATAATTAATCAATTAATGAGATATTTTATTCAAAATTAAAATAAATACATATGAAAAAATTAATCAAAATCAAAATTTGGTAGTTTTAATTATTACCCATTCGTCATCTATCTTATCAAACATCTTAATGTAAAGTAATATCTCAATAATAATGGAGTCAGAACATAAAATATGAAGTTAGAAAAGCGTTTTTGGAAAACAGTTTAACAATAAAAAAAATTAGAAAGACATTGCTATCATTAAGAAATATTAAATAAATAACATGGGAAAAGTAATTATAATACTTAAGAAAAAGTAAAAAAGTTAAAAAAAATCAAGAAAGAAAACTTATAATGCATCAAAAATTAAAAAATAAATTAATGCTAAACCCTCAAATTACAATAATTAATCATAGTCTTATTATATTTTATTAATTCATACTTCAATACTTTAGATCCAAAAGAAATCAAATGCACAATGACCCTAAGCCTTAATTAATATAAAATTAAAATAATTTATCATAATGTTAACCTTAAGTCCCAAACAAACAATTAAACCATTTAAGAAAAACAAAATTTTAGTATTATTAATCAACAAATTTTTAAAAAAAAAATTCAAGAAAATCAATAACAAATCAAATATAATAAAATTAAATAAAAAATATATAGATATATTCAAATAACAAAAGAAAACTCACAAGAATTAGTTGAATGAGGGTGTCTTGGTCAACTTTCAGGAAGTCCTTATCCCATTGCTTGATTTCATCTTCAGTGGTCTTGAATTCAGGGCTAACGGGAACAACGTGCTTGTTACAGTACTCGATAACCTTAGAGAGAATTTTAGCGTCGACATTAGGAACTGGAATGAAATTATTGCTATCGCCAATCTCGAGGTCCTCGATTATGTGCTTGAGGGTTTGAGAAAGCCTTGCTGAGTTTTCGTCGACTGAGAAAAACTCCTTATTGGAAGACTGAAGGACAACCTTCTTGGAAGAAGATGGAGAAGAGAAGGATGATGCCATTGAATTGGAGTTTTCTTGGAAGGAAAATAGGAGAGTTATATTTTGTAAAAGTATGACTTGTTTTGAGAATATGTTGACTGATGAGACTTTGAAAGCCTACTAGAGTTGTTTTTATAGATGTTATTGGGGATTCTAGAAATATCTTATATGAAGCTATCTTATTCTATCCAACAAATTCTATCCTATCCTATCCTATCTAGCTATCCTATATTATTTTTTTAGGGTATGATATATAAAGTAAACTTTTATTTAACTTAATAGTAGGGGTGATCAAAGCCGAGTACCCAGTCAAAACCAGGGACCCGGTCTCGGAACTGCTTTTAGTCGGGTCTAATATTTTAGGTTTAGTCCAGGAATTGGTTAGCACAGGGTCTGAAATTTTAGATCCAGAAGCGGGATTGGTGGGAACCGATTCCGGTACCAGGTACCCGGTAATCATTAGTATAAAAAAAATCCAGATTTTTAAGAAAAAAAGGGAAAAATTTATACCAAAGTACCAAACATCCAAACTTTAGAACTAAGTAAGAAAATCTCAGAATATTAAAACGAAAAAAATAGATCTAAAAATTAAATGAAATTCCATATTATCATAATTATTTCTCACATTCATTATCCGAATTTCATAAAAAATCAGCCCAAAATACTAAATTATATGACAAATTTTTTCATCTTCAAAGTAAGGAATCATACTCCGTAATTTATTAATTCTTCGTCTCCAACCGTTTCATCATCACAAAAAAAAATGTGTAGGAAGGTGGGGGGAAATGGATTTTACATGTAAGAATTTGAGAGTAAAATATTTGAGTTTTAGATCTACAAAATTGAAAAGAAGAAGTATATATTATATGAGTTTTATGACGGCTGAATAAAAGAACATCAGGGTAAGTTTAGGGTAAATAGTTCTTACAAAGGTTGGGAAACTAGAGTAAGTGAGTAGTGGGCTAAAGATTATAAAGCCAAATGTTAAAATTATGTTCTAAAAGTCCAAGGATAACTGATTATATAATTGGAACCGGGTACCCATCGGGTACCGGGTACAAATATTTAAGAATTGGATTCGATACCAGTTGAACCAGGTCTTGATTTTTGGAGTCGGAACCGGTAGGACTAGTTCTAGTTCTAGACCCGGCGGGTCCTAACCGGTTCCAAATCCAAGACCGAGTACCCACTTTTCTTGCTGACCCCTACTTATTAGGTTAAGTGAGGCCCGATGAATTTGATACAATTTTAATTTTTGACGAAACTATTTGATTCATAATTCAATTAATTTCTAAAATTTCTCAATTACTCAAGTTGTCATAAAGAATAAAAAAAATCAAACAAAAAAAAACACAAAAAAAAACAAAAAAAAACAAACATTTAGTGCTCGCTCATGTTGTTGAATTACGTGAAAAATCCTTAGATTAGAGTGTGTACCATTGATCAATATATATAAAGTTTTACAAGACTAGTCCAAATCACATTAGAAAACCTAGTACGATAATTATACAAAATATATACAAAATATATCCTAAATCTGCATCAAATATTATCTTACTAAAATATTTATCACACCCCTGCAGTTGTAGCTAGAGGAGGACTTAAGCTAAGACTATATCTAAAGTCTAAAAAACAAGTCTTGGGGAAGGGCTTTAATTAGTAGATGTCTAAAAAGTGATATCTAGAAGGAACATGTAGAACCCGAACGTGATCCAAAGAAACCTTTTCTTGAACAAAATGTGTATCCATCTCCACATGTTTGGTGCGTTGGTGTTCAACCAAGTTGCTAGATAGATAAAATACATAGCACTGAGATTGTCACAGTAAACAATAGTAGCCTATCGAAGAAGACAATGTAACTCCAATAAAGGATTACGAAGGCAACAAGCCTAAGAAACAACATTTACGACGCCTCGATATAACGCTTATGCACTCGACTTAGATAATGCAGGTGATTTTCATATGAGGGTAGTTAATTTTATTGGCATGTGAGGGATTCTGTCTTAATAACATCTTTTTCATTGGTTTCAAATGTATGTTCATGTGTATATTACAATAGAGTTAGTGATAATTAATTACGTATTGACAAGCGTGTAAGGTATGAAAACTCAAAGAATAAAGCTTTTGTAGTATTATTTTGTTTCATTTCATGTTTTAAAGTGAAATACATTTGTAATCCAAAATTTGAATATAATGTGTGTATTTCAATGAAGTATAATCCATTCGTAATCCGAAATTTATAATCCAAAACTAACCCTTTGTGTTAAACTGTTTCTTGTAAATAAAGTCCTAATGAACTAACCAAGGACTAAAAAGGACTTTAGTTAACCAATTGGTTAATTAGTTTGAACCTATAAAGTCTAAATACACTCGACCTAGAATTCCATAGGCTTAAACCTTCGAAAGAATTACCAGAAACAGATTAGATTGACGTTCCAATAGTGGCGCTTAAATTTGGTATGTAGCATAGAACACTAGCTCCATCGCGTCGCAATAGTCCTATCACGTTGCGATGGTTTTAGCGTTCCGCGATGGTTCTATCTCCATGTGTTGGTTCGGGTTTTTCTTTTCAAGTCTTACCGCGTTATTGCCATAATTAACCTGTTAAATTAAACCTGTCAATTTTGTACCCAACCAGCAAACCCGCGGAACTCGTTAAACTTGTAAATTTGTGGGTTAAACCCGACCCATTGACAGATTTTAAGGGTTCGTTTTTAATAAATACCTTTATTTAAAAATTAATATTAATTTATGATTTATGTTTGATTGTTTGTCTACTACCAGACATACATTTCATCTTTTTCTCATTTATCTATCTCATATGACTCTTGTTCAATTTCACACCAATCACCTCCTACACCAATTAATCACCCACACTAATCGCATCTGTATGACTCACATCACCGGCATACCACCGATTGACAAGCCTACTAATAAAATGTCAAGAGATATTATACTCTACATATATAATCAGGATGGTCTCTTCTTAAATTTTGGGATATTTAATTGTTTTAATTTTAAGTTTATTATATTTTTTATTAATTGGGAATTGATGAGATTTGGTAAAATGGTGACAATTGAAATTATGTAATATAAAATGTACTATAATGAAAATTTTCGATTAAAAAATTGGGAAAAAAATAGCAAAATAAGCCTGAAAAATAAGAAAATTTTACAAATAAGGCAAAAAAATAAAATAAAAATTGTTCTAAACCCGTTGGTTTGACTCTAACCCAAAACTTTGGGTTAGGGTTGAGCATTTCTCTACTGGTGACCCGAAGTGACCCGACCAGAAATGACCTATGACTAGGAGTAACCCGACCCGACCAACCCGATTGATAAGTCTAGGTTTAATGAATAAAGAAGGTTTTAACTTGTTTTTTGCTTGAGTCTAATACATATCTAGTCTTATGGTCATTACATGAGTCTTGAACATATCGCTTACACTTACTCCTTGCACACATTTTGTACATGTCTTTTAACCATGACTATGCTAAGAGTCTTGCAAGCATTTTTTTTTCTTTTTTTTTTAGGGGGGTAAGTCAGATATTATCCTCCCAAGATAAACCATGTTGCTTGAAAACTTAATTTGATTCCCAAAATATGCTCCCATTTTTTGCTTTTTCAACCCAATAAAGTACGAGTTAATTTGAGTCAAGTCATTGAAAGAGTCAATGATTTAATTTTACAGCATTTGGTTAAGGAGAGAAGGTTATTTAATCAAAGACAACACCTTTATACAAGTACTCCTTTTCTAGAGACCAGTTCGAACAAAAAGAAAGATAAGAATGGTAGCTAGTAAAGAACATTTTGACCAACTTGAACTTACTGTAAATGGTCTCGCAGAAATTCTTAAGGGACTTAGCACCCGAATCAAGAAGGGTGAGGACCGTAACAAACAAGTACCAGTTGAGACGATTAAGCGCATCGAATACAGCTTAAGTGAAATCACCAATGACTACAAGTACCTTTGATTAAGCTCTAAGGAGATTTTAGTGGATAAGGGTCTTTTTTCGCACCAGATGTCTACCAATGACTTAGCTAAATTCAAGGCTACTGACAATCCTTACTTCCACTTGAAGGATTTGAAGAAAATCAAGGAAATTAAGGGTATCAACAAGAAAGTCATCCCTTCACTTTTCCCTCTTTCACTTGAGCCAGTATGTCAACAATGGTTCATTTATATAAATGCTTAGAAAATTGCTACTTGGGACAATACTAAATATGCGTTTATCAATTGATACAATTGTACGTAATATTTAAGTAGAAACTAATCATAGAGAGCTTTAAATTCTTAAGCAAAAAGAAAATGAAGGCTTCATTGCATTTTACAATAGATGGAAAGAATTAAATGTCCGCGAGAATGATTGAAGTCCCAACTGAAAGAGAATATGTGAGAATTTTTATTAAAAATCTCCAAGAGAAATATCAAAACATTTGAAATATCAATGTAACTTGAATACTTTCAACGTTGTTAATAATATAGGCATTGAAATTGAGGATAACCTTGCAAAATTGAAAGCTACTAACAATAGTAACAACATTGGCTGGAAAGAAAAGAAGAACGACAATCCTTCTTCTTATAAGAACACCCACTCTAGTAATAATGTTAGTACCTTTAACTTCAATGATGTCATAGCCATGGATAATCAAGGGCCAAGAAGGCTACCAAGAAAAGAGTTAACCCCTATTGGGATAAGCTATGACTCGGCCTTCGATCGACCCTATACCAAGGGAATCGTTACTCCCATTGGACTTATTCAAGATCTTGCACCTAAAAAGAGGTTTCCTAGTTGAAATCCAAACGCTCATTGCAAATACCAGGGGCCACTCTATTGAAAGTTTGTGGAAGTTAAAAGAAGTTTTTCAATATTTGATTGATAACAACAAACTTCTAGAGCCTCATGTCGGCAAGAAGCCAATCCTTGGCAATTTTTGATGATCAAGATCCATTATATCCATCACTCCTTATTAAGCTTGTTGAAGATGAATCCATGGAAAAAGTCAATGTCATTGAAGAAGAAGAGGAAGTTTTCTTCTATGCCATGACTAATTTCCAAGATGAGACTACCAATAAAGACATTACTAGTGTGACCCTTCCCAAAAAGCTACTAGTCTAAACA